TTCACACTGCTGGTGGTTTCTCTTGCTGTGCAGAAGCCTTTTAATAAGAAGAGATCCCATTTGTTGATTGTTTGTGCTAGTTCACGGGCAGCTGAGGTTTTGTTCATAAAATCTTTTCCTACACCGATGTCTTCAAGGGTTTTACCTAACCTCTGTTCCAACTGTGAACCCAGGTTTTAAGGCCTTCAGGTCCCAAGGCCTTTGGGTCCCCAGGCCTGGTTACACGGAGAAGGAAATGGGGTCTCACAATAGGAGACAGTCGCTTTGGAAGAAGAAAGCATTGCAGAGAGCAAGGGCTGATCCGTCCATTTATTAGTTTGCCATTCAAAACTCTTGAGTGAAGATTGATGATGGTGTTCCTCTGAATGATGCGTGCCTTGTCCTCTGTCAGTAGTCACCTGCCTTCCACAAGCCTCACACAGCGAGCGTTTGTGGGACAGGCGGCCTCTTAATGCCCCAGTTGCTTAGCCCGAACTAGGGTGACATCCGGAATGTCAGCGTGGACTGGGGATGCTGGAGGCCTGCGACGCCGCTTCTCTGCCTCTACATAAAGACTGAATGCTCAGTGATACCTTTTCCACATTTATCCTAGACTTTCTTGACATTATTTTTCAGAGACAAATGTACTTGCAGGAGATCATACAGGACATTCGCATGGTGACAAACTTACTGCTGTGATGAGCTAGTGAGCTCACATATCCTTGGACTGGCTTCTGCTTGCCTATTTTGAGCGCGCCCGTCCATGAGTGGGGTGTGTGTGTATGATTTTGAATGGGATTGCATACCTGATTTTTACATATATAAAATTTATATATGCCATATATAAATTGCTCTGGGTTTTCCACTATCTCGTTTTATTCTAATCATAGCTCAGGGGCAGGTTTATTTGAAGCCCTGACCACTCACTCACCCCAAATTGTTTTAAGATCTACAAAGCCCCTGTGATATCTGGATCTCCACAACCATCAGGATTTTAAGCCTACATTTTTCCTTCTGAAGACATTCCAAGGTATTTCGATCCCCTCGCATTTTAGTGTAATTTGGAGAAGCAAATCTGGAGGTTTGCCGTAAGGACCAGAAGTTTATGCTGTGACTAAAAGTAGACACCTGAGGAGGATTTGGACTCTAGCCTTACAGCCTGCTGTCTGACCTTGGCTAACCCTGAAGTCGCCCTTGCCTCAGTCTAGTGTCCAAGGTAACGAGCCAGGCACCACCCTTGATACCTGAGTCCTTAGGACCTGTAAGAATTAAGAGCCAAGGCCACGGAATACTCGCGAGTCTTGGGTGGAAGAGCCTCTCCTGGAAGCCTTGCTGTTGCAGGGCTTCCCTTGGTGTGCTTTTCCCATGCAGCATGGCTTCCTGTGGGTCCTTACTTTATGATCATCACTACATTGCTACCTATTTCACCTCTGCTTTGGAAAACCTGAAAATACTACACATATTAGTAGAAGTTTCTTGAATTAATGAACACTCAGAACTGTACCTTCAACAGAAAGCCTAATTGGTTAAATATTACCCAGTTATTGCACTATGGTGTTATTCTCCACCCTAAAAATGCAATTAATGGGAAATTTCAGTTAAAGTACAGTTTAGAAATATCAAACATCATTTCCAAAAAATGAAATTTTGTTAAAGGAGCTATTCTAAGCAGTTAAGAAATGAAAACTTTGATTCTGAAAAAAATCCAAAACCCACATATAATTTGATGCTTGGAAGTGCATTATAAATGACAAAATAAGCTAGATGTAGTGGCACACACCTGTAATCCCAGCACTGAGGAGGCTGAAATAGGATCATTTCACATTTGAGCCCAGCCTAGGCTACATAATGAGTTCAAGGCCAGCCCGAGCCACATAGCAAGACCCTGTCTCAAAAAAACAAAACAGCAAATACAGTATATATAGATATCTAGATATACAGGGTCCGCCAAAAAAGTCTATACATCAGGAAAAGAAAAACATAAATATTTTAATACTAAATATACTGAGACATCATGAGATCAATACAAGTTACCTTTGGCCTCTACAATTATAAGAGCTGCTCAAAGTGGTGACCACCGGCTTCCAGACATTTATTTTTAGCACAGCGAACTGCTGCTTGGGTGACCTTGGTCACTGAGATTTCTGCACATGCATGTTCCATTTCTTCCCTAAGGCCCGGCAGTGTAGTGGTTTTTCTGCAATGTACGACATCTTTTATGGCCCCCCATAAGAGAGTAACACCATCTGTTGAAAAAAATCATACTGTTTTTCTTTTCCTGGTGTGTACATTTTTTGCAGACTGTATATATGCATACACATACACATATACCTCAGTTCATGAACGCTTTTGTCTGCAAACTGTATACTGGGTGACAAACACGACAGCGGCCATCTTTCCCACACAAAAACAAACATGGCCTTCTTTTCCAGATCGTAGAACGAACTAAGTTCGTGAGCCAAGGCGCCCCTGTGTGTTTACCATGTGTTTCATTATATATTTTTTGTAAATATAGATGAAAAATGACTTCAGGTAAGAGGCCATTCTGTTCTAGAGTAAACATTGGTGTTCTTTGGGGAGAGTTGGTTCTTTGCTGCTATAATGTGTGTGTCCTTACTGAACAGAGGCTATTACCTGTCACTCATCTGAAAATTTTTCTTTCACTAAAAAACTTGCATGACTTTTCTTATTTTTTCATCTGAATTTTGTTTTTAGAAGACGCAAGCCTCATTCAAGCATGATTTCAGGCTTGGGCCTGCCCAGCCAGGTCAGAACTGGAGCCCAGAGCCCCGCCCTCCCTCCGGCACCCCTCCCCGGACCCACACACTGAAGCTGCAGGGATCTGACAGCTGGGGCTCCCCGAGGCCTGTGCTTCTCCACGGGTTTCTTGCTGGGACAGTAGATGTTGGGGCGCGGGATGGCAACCACTGCAGACGTCGGACCCCCAGGCACACAGGCGGCCACGCCACCAGCAGCCGTCGTCCCAAGTGCTGGTGAGGAGGGCTCTCCCGGAGGCCGGTAGGGCTGCCTGACAAGGGTGTCCTCTCTGAGCAGGGGACCTGCGTCTGGGGCCTGGTGAGAGCAGAGGTGGGTAAAGGAGAGAGTGGGAAGGTCAGGTACCCCGGGGAGAAACCGAACGGCCATGGGGGACCTTGAGTGCTGCAGAGCTTCAGGCAACAGGGGTCCTTTTCCTGCTGCACATGGCAGGGAGTCTCAGCTCAGCCTCTGCTGCCAACTAATTCACAGAAGCAAAGTGAACACTAATCTTTCATCAGTGCAGCCACTAATGAGACCTGGAGCTTCCAGGAAAATTAGGTTTAACAAAATGCCACGCTGGTACTTCTCTGGGCAGATAAGAGCAGAGGAGGTGAGGCAGGAGGGCGAGCCTTGATCCTCATCTCCCAGCGCCTGCCTGGGCCAGCAGCACAGGGGAGTTGGGCACAGGGAGCGAGGGGAACAGGACAGGCTTCTCAGCACCCAAATACACATGACCGAGAGCTTTTCTACCTGCTTCCTGCCTTCCTTCAAACAGACTGAAAGCAATCCGTGCGGAAAACAATGTGAGCCTGTGTAAAATTTGGTTAAGTAATTCCCAGGCGTGTTTTGCTTAACCTGGGGCAATATGTTTTCTAGTCACGAGTAACCCACACCATCAGCCTCATGGTGATTTTCAGCCAAAGGAGGCATTCTGGCCACAGCATTTTAGATGAAGCCCTGAAGTGACTGTTTCTTGGTAACCTAATTAGGTATTTCAATCTGTCTCTAAATCCAGGTTAAAATGTTATGACATCGATGCCCACACATTTGCTGTGTTTGCAGTCATTAACCTGGTTAGAGAA